CCCCCCCCACCCCCCCCCCCAAAAAAGAAAAGAAATAGAACTTACCTTTCTGAAGCCTTCCAGGGGTCCCTCGCTGCGCCATCACCGCTGCCGGAGGCCTCCGAGGGCTTACCCGTCGTTGCCGGAGGCCTCTTGGAGATCCCCCGCCCCCGCCAATGCAGGCTTTCCCAGGGTGGACCGGGCCAACCCGGGGAGGGCTTCCCCCGGTAGGCTGGGTCTACTGCCCAGGAAAGCCTGGTAGACCGGGCCTACCAGGAGAGCCCACAGTGTGTTTAACATCCATTTATTTACAGAAGTAGGTGAAACTTCATATGTTTCCATATGAAACATACCCATGTTTCACCAATACGTAAGGAGTGTTTCATATCAAAGTTTAATTTTTTCTTGAAGATAATAAAGTGAAGGAACTGAAATGAGGGCCAGCCTGACCCAAATCCATGAGCTGCATTGAGCAATTTTATTCTTTTTGTCCATTTCCATCCAACTGCTTGTCTGCATTCCTTGCCTTCTACAGCAGTATATTGCATTTTTTACAGCACCCGTTATGTTTTTATTAAATGAATGGAAGGACAAATGTCTTGTCTTTACAAGTAGTAATGCTGCAAGGGAAATCAGCTGCCAAAGCGTGTTCCCAAACCTGAGATACAGTACAGTACATAAAATCATTGTCTAATGTGGTTGTGTTTGCACTTACATGCTTGCAGATACACATAGGCAAGACTGGATAGCCTGTTTAGTACCTTGTGTTGCAGTTGCATGGATGCTTTGTTAGCTTGTGAGGTGGAATCTGGCAGGATCCAACAGTGATCTTTTCATGAAATGGTGGAATCTCACTGCAACAACCTCTCATGAGCTTTCAGAATTGGCTCTTTGAGGATTGGGAAATCCACTAGAGAGCCTCAACATGCCCCAAACTGAGGAGGCGTTCTTTTGTCCAGGATATCCCATGCGCTCAGATGAACTAGCCCGTCAGATGTACTAGCACTCAAACTATTGATCCTTTCTCTTTTTCATTCAAAGTTAGGACTGGTTAGGGTACTGTGTGAAAAGCTTACTGATTTGTGAAATGTACTGGATGATCTTGAGCCAGTCTATTTTTCTTTCTTTCAGTCTCACTTACCTCATTGGGCGATTGTAGAAAAAAAAGAGGGCAAAAGGGGTTGGGGGGATCTTTCTTAAAGGGGGGCTGGGGTTTTGTGTCTGTTCTTAGGGCAGTTGGTTGTTCCAAATTCCAGGTAAGGTTACCTGTGATCTTTGAACTTTCTTGTGTAGCTGTGCAGTGGCATTGTCTTTGCTGGGGTTTGATATGTTGGCAGTCAGGCTTCATTGAAAAAGCTACAAATTTTTCATTTCTGTACACTCAAGAGTGGTGCTAGAATCTTAAAAAGAAAGCTTGAAGACAGATTTGCTGCTTGTGATGTGTATCACAGTTGCCTTATTTTTGCCTCAAGCAAAAGATACAGTAGGTTTTTTGTTTTGAAAGCCTACGGTTCCTGTTTGACAGAGTGCACATGTGCATTAAAATCAGTCTCAGGCCATCTTCGGTTTGCTTAAGATAAAAGGGTCAGTCTTTTGCCATATCTTTTTACTGAGAGAGGGTTAGAAAAAAACTGGTGAACCAGGTTTTGTAGGCTTTTGAAATAGTCTTTAACCTAATCTTGCTAAGTACTTTATTTTTTATGGAGCTTCAGTGACCTTACTTCTACAGTTCTTTTCCGAAGAGGGTAGCTGCATCAGTCTGTTGAAGCAAAACCAGCAAGAAGTTCTATAGCAGATTTTGGTTCTGGCTGTAGTTCACAAAAGCTTATGCCAGATAACACTTATTAGCCTTTTTAGAAGAGGTAGCTGTGTTAGTCAAAGAACTTATTAGCCTTAGAGGTGCCTTTTAGAAGAGGTAGCTGTGTTAGTCAAAGCTATGGTTTTTCCAGTAGCGATGTATGGAAGTGAGAGCTGGACCATAAAGAAGGCTGACCGCTGAAGAATTGATGCTTTTGAATTGTGGTGCTGGAGGAGGCTCTTGAGAGTCCCCAGGACTGCAAGGAGAACAAACCTATCCGTTCTGAAGGGGATCAACCCTGAGTTCTCACTGGAAGGACAGATCCTGAAGCTGAGGCTCCCAACTCTGGGAGGCAGTGGAAGACAGGAGGGCCTGGCGTGCTCTGGTCCATGGGGTCAGGAAGAGTTAGACACGACTTAACAACTAAACAACAAGAACAACAACTTTCTGGTTGCTATGTCACAAAAACATTGTGGTGTGTTAAAGACTAATTGCTTTTGTGGATAAGTCCTCTTTTTTTTTTTTATTTTTTATTTATTTATTTATTTATTTATTTATTTATTTATTTATTTATTTATTTATTTATTTATTTATTTATTTATTTATTTATTTATTTATTTATTTATTTATTTATTTATTTATTTATTTATTTATTTATTTATTTATTTATTTATTTATTTATTTATTTATTTATTTATTTATTTATTTATTTATTTATTTATTTATTTATTTATTTATTTATTTAACTTTGGGCGGCTTACAACAATTAATATACAATAAAAAGATAAAACAAGAAGATGCTCTTCTTTGGCTGAAAACAATCTTGGGGCATGCATTTTCTTACTTCATTTACACAACTCGAGGTGAGATGGATTTTGAAAATGCACATTGTTTCACCTGTGTGATTTTTTAAAAAGCGCCATCTTGACTGTTAGCAAATCTTGAAGGAGATAGAATTCAGTTTCTGTACCTGTTTTTAATATGGCTGAATAGTTTGGATCCATAGGAATCAAGATTTCAGGCATCTATCCTCACAAACCATTTTCTAGGGGTTTTACAGCCATCTCTCTGAAAGTGTTGCCAGGTCCTTGACTTTTCTTAATGTTCTTTCTCGTATCTCTCTCTTGCAGATATAGAATCCAATGGTGATCTAAACAGTGATGATTATGAATATGAGGATGAAGCTAAACTTGTCATATTTCCAGATCACTATGAAATTCCTTTGCCCAATATAGAAGAGTTACCAGCACTGGTAAGTGAGTAGGTGTCACAAAAAATGGACTTTCTGAATGAGGGGACATGTATTTAAAGAAACAAATTGTGTAGTTTGGCTGTACTTTGGATGCCAGATTTGGGGATTCACAAGATGTTGTCTTTTCAGCATATCCAGGGAAACACTGGATTTAGATGTGTTGTTAGCGATTAATGCACACAGGATTCGCTCAACGATATCTGTATGATAAAGGAGCCATCCTTGGTGCATAAAATCATTGTAGAAATTATGAGAAACTGAGCTGTCATTGAAAATCCTGTGTTTTATGTGTTGACTTAGACCAGGAAGCCTCTCCTTAAGCTTTGATTTCACTGATTATTTTGCTTTTTAGCTAAATCCAGTGGCTTTAACTTGTGACAAATAAATATAAACTGAAGAAGAATGTAAGATGTGCAAGAGGACAAGCTGGTAAAATGTAGGCTTAATGAAGTTGGTGTTGGGTGGATTTATAGAGGAGCAGTACCCAAAGAGTGCTTCTCAAGAGTTTGGTCATCATGGAGGGAAGTAACAGGCTGAGTGCCATTGTTATCTACTCACCGCCACTTGGCCCACTTCCACCACAGCCAGTGCCTCATATTAATTAAATTACTGCCTGTACTGCTCCATAGTTCAGCAGCTTCTCTGCTGGCCATTCGGACAATGCCTGGCTTCATGCTACTCAGGAACAAGTAGGCTTTTCCACTCCAACTCTCCTCCCCCCCCCCGAGTTCTTTGGAACTGAGGACTACTGAAGCCGGCCATTGTCTCAGTAGCTGAACAGCCATGATGTGGACTAGGACAAGCAGTGATTCATGATGGGGGGGGAACCACTGCCCTCTTCCTCTTGAGGAGACTTGTGATGCAGTGGTTAAACTTCACTGCTGCAGCCAAAACTGTGCTCATGACCCAGGGCCAGTCCCAGATATCCAGCTTGAGGTTCACTTCCATCCTTCAGAGTTTGATAAATTGAATACTGAGCTTGCTGGGGCAAGGACAATGTGTAGCTTGAACAATTAAATTGTAAACTGTCCAGAGAGTGCTTTAAGTGCTATGGGGTAGTTTATAAGCAGCACAATTGGCTTTGCTTTGCTTTCCTCTTCTGTCTTTCCCCCTCTCCTTGTAGGTGTTTCCACATGTTTGGGAATTCTTTCCCTGCTTTAGGATGAGGTTGCTCCTGTGCTGCTGGATCATGTCCAAAGGAGATGACAGGAATGGTAAAGGGATGGTTGGTGGATGTTTAGCCTGGAGAGGTTTTAGATATAATATGACGACACTCTTCAGATATTGAAGATCTGTCATGAATAAAATCAAGTAACTTTGTTTTCTGCTGCTCCAGAACATGGGAGCCAAACCAGTGGATTCAAATTACAAGAAGGGATTTTGATTAAACTTTTGTTGTTGTTTAGTTGTGTCCAACTCTTCGTGATCCCATGGACCAAAGCACACCAGGCCCTCTTGTCTTCCACTGTACAGCTTTTCCCACTCTTTTGTTGACTATCAGGGCTACTCCATTTCTTCTACGGGATTCTTGCCTACAATAGTAGATATGATAATTGTCTGAATAGAATTCACCCATTCCTATCCATTTTAGTTCACTGACACCCAGGATGTCAATGTTTATTCTTGCCATCTCCTGTTTGACCACATCCAGCTTACCAAGGCTTGTAGATCTTACATTCCATGTTCCTATGCAGTATTTTTCTTTGCAGCATCGGACTTACCTTTCACTTCCAGACTCGTCCACAGCTAAGCGTCCCTTCGGCTTTGGCCCAACCACTTCATTAGCTATGGAGCTACTTGTCCTTGTCCTCGGCTCTTCCTCAGTAACATGTTGGACGCCTACCGACCTGAGGGGCCCATCTTCCAGCCTCATATCTTTTAGCCTTTTGTTTCTATCCATGGAGTCTTCTTGGCAAAGAACCTGGAGAGGCTTGCCAGTTCCTGCTCCAGGGGGATCACGTTTAGTCAGAACTCTCCACTATCACCTGTCTGTCTTGGGTGTTCCTGCATGGCATAGCCCATAGCTTCTCTGAATTACTCAAGCCCCTTCGCCATGACAAGGCAGCAATCCGTGAAGGGGCGTTAAACTTTAGGAAGAATATTCTGATGATAAAATGGTTCAGGGAGTAGAATGGCCTGCCTTGCCAGGGACATCTTGTTTGTTAGAGGTTTGGAAATAGAATGTGGATAGCTGCTTGCCATGGTTGCTTTCACTGTGAATTTCCTGCATTGCCAGGAGGTTGAATTAGGTGGCCCTGGGATCTCTTAGTGCTGTTCAGTTCCGTATTTCTGTGAAGAAAAATAGCCTGAATGATGAATAATGTTGTTGTTTTTCATTTCTAACATCTTCAGTCCTTAGCAATCTGGGTAAGAGAAACAGTTTTCAGAACATATGGAGAGCAGAAGGGGCCAAACTCCAGGCAGTGTTCAGTCAAAAAGTTGCCATATTTTAGGATGGCAGGCAAACGCTCAGCCTGCTACAGCTGGGGAATGGGTGAAGAACGGGTGATTTTGTCAAGCTCAATCTTGTCAAGTTTCTTTGTAGTCTATTGGTAAATTTGTTCTGGCTTCTTAGGCCTGTATCAGAAAATCTCCCTTCTATCCAAATAGTTATGCATGTGTATTTAAAACATACTCATTTTTGTTCAGAGATACATCCTTTTAAAGATACATCCATCAATTAAGGAAGTTTGGGTCTCATTTTTTTTCTTTCTTTGACAAAACAGCACACGCTGTTTCTCTGAAAAAAAATGGACCCAAGTGGCGAGACATGCCCTAGTGACATGTGGGTTGCCATTTGAATGTTAATTACTGCCTTCTTGTCCAGTTTTTTACGAGAGAGAGGCCATTTAAACGAACTGGACTGAGTGAGTGGCCAGAAAAAGGTAGTAGTGGATCTGAAAACTTGAAGATGGGGAAACATTATGACCTACTGCCTTCTTGTCCAGTTTTTTTATGAGAGAGAGGCCATTTAAAGGAACTGGACTGAGTGAATGGCCCAAAAAAGGTAGTAGTGGATCCGAAAACTTGAAGATGGGGAAACATTATGACCTCTATAATCTTTTTCCTTCGGTAATGCTGGGTGGGATATCTGAGAGTATCAAACACCTGGAGGATGACAGGATTCCCCCCACCATTTGGTCTAAATCGGAGATAGCTTATGGGTTGAGCAGGGGAGGTTCCTCCTCACACAAAATTTCAGGTGGAATACCCTCTAATTTTGTCTCAGACTGTTTGATACTTGAACTCTTCCTAACAGTTTATTCCTTGCTGGCAAAATGGCAATCCAGAGCAAAAGATCTTGTTTTGTTTTGTTTTTTTCAAAAGCCACTCAGCCTATTGCAGAAGTCCATTAACTGTGGGCCAACCCTTGAGAACCTTCGTTAGGAGATGCTGGATAGCCTCTGTAACTACCTTGCTGATAATTATAGATGTTGGAGCTGATATGACGTAACGTGGAGTGATCAGATAGAAACCTGCAGGATCTTCTGTGGGTTTTTATTTTTTACTAGATATCTTAAGATCCACCGGTTGGATGTTTGCAAGTGTTTGCTTGATGGCTCAGGGTAGCAGATATAGGCTTGAATTTAAAAAACTGAGGACCACATTTATTTATTTATTTGATTTATATCCCGCCTATCTGGTTGGGTGAGGACCACTCTAGGCGGCTATGTTGAGTTGAGCTCAGTAATATGTTTTCATTACCAGAAGTGAGCTCTCTGCCTTTTTACAGAGTCGGCGTCTAGTTTCTCCAGCATTTTTCTTAATGTTATAACTGGGGAGGGCGGGAACAGATCTGGTCATTGTTGCTAAACCATTGAAAGTTAGTTGCTGATCCACTGCAAGTTATTCAGTAATCAGCAACCCCAACAGAATGGTTAAAAATGTATGTTGTGAATCCTGACTCTAAAATCATGAGTGACTAGATCATCAAACGCCAGCCATTATCTTTCAGCTTCTTCTACTGCTCAAAATTCTGCAGCGTTGGTTACTTATTGGTTTGACTTGCTCTTGTCAGGATTAATTAGCTGGCATCAGCATTACTGAAATAATGTACATGGAGCACTTTCAAAATTCAGATGCCCTTGTCAAATGAGGTGAAATGGCTGCAAGAGAGAAAGCCTTCTTAGTGGTGGCTCCTAATCTGTGGAATGCCCTTCCCAGAGAGGCTTACTGATGCCTATATTGTGATATTTTTGGCACCAGGTGAACACTTCTTTATTCTCTCAGGTATTTTAAGAACATTGTAAAAGTGTTTTTGGATCATAACACTTTTGTATTTTGTATTCTGATTGGGTCTTAAATGCTCTAATTTGCTGCTGGTTTTATCTTAGTATTACTGTTTACTTATTGTTAATGGCGTGAATTTTATGTTTTTAACATTTTATTTTCTCATTGTGTTAATGAGACATTTAAAAATACAATAAACAACGAAAGAGGCATTCAAAAAGGATATATAAAAGTAATGGTAGTTTTTGTTATTATTGGTTGTTGTTGTTTAGTCATTAAGTTGTGTCCGACTCTTCGTGACCTCATGTACCAGAGCACGCCAGGCCCTCCTGTCTTCCACTGCCTCCTGGCGTATGGTCAAATTCATGTTGGTCACTTCGATGACACTGTCCAACCATCTCGTTCTCTGTCATCCCCTTCTCCTCTTGCCTTCACACTTTCCCAACATCAGGGTCTTTTCCAGGGAGTTTTCTCTTCTCATGAGATGGCCAAAGTACTAGAGCCTCAGCTTCAGGATCTGTCCTTCCAGTGAGCACTCAGGGTTGATTTTCTTTAGAGTTATTGGTACTCTTAGTTATCAGTCATGATAAGACAGAGGTATCTTTTGCTTGGTTTTACCTATTAAGTTGGTTTTGACTTCTTTCCCATTCTTTAGGTTACAATAGCTTGTGATGCCGTCCTCAGTTCGAAATCGCCATACAGAAAGCAAGATCCAGACTCATGGGAAGAGGAGCTACAAGTTTCCAAACACGCCAGCATTCTTGTGCAGATGGACAATGGAGTCAGGATTCCACCAAGGTGAGGCCAAGAACATCTTTACTGTATAAAATCAAAATCCTTGTAATCCAGTTTGCTGTGCCCTATGTTATGGAATTCGATTCTGTTGAGGAAACACAAGATAGCACAGCATGGTTTGAAGGCTACAGCCGAAATCTGGTGCTGGTCTCTGGCATTGAATGGTACACTGCTGTGAACATGGAGGTTCCGTTTAGCCATTAAATCTAATAGTCTTTGATGGATAAATTAATTCTTGCAATTAGTGTAATCCTTATGCAAATAGCGGGATGAAAATGGTTGTTCTTGGCACTTACTTAGGTGTAGTTCTTTCTTGTCATATGTCAAGCATCTGGCTCCCAAAAAGGAATGTTTGAATTTAGACAGTTTTCATAGACCTCTGGTTTCAAGGTGTCTTCTTGAGAAGAGTGTCCATTACCAACTCTTTCAGGATAGCAATCACCATTCCCCGAAATAGTGAGGCATTTAGGACACCCTAGTCCCACCCAACCTTGTGACACAGTAAACAATGGTAGAGCAAGTCAGGAAGTACAACAGAGACCCAGTTCTTTTGATCTGGGGTGGCATTTGGAGATGTGCAACTGTGGCTTTTCTGAGGTTCTTTGACCACAAATCCCATCCTCATTGTTGGCCAAGCTGGCAGGGGCTTATGGGACATGGTATCCAAAACCATCTGGAGGGATATGCGCACTCCATCCCTGATTGAGAAGCATAAGATCTCACCAGTAGTCATTGTGAGCCGTTACCAATGACTTGAAGGCTCTTTCCCCTAATGTTATTTGTGACTCTTCTTCCTTTCTGTCTGTGTATCAACTACCATTAAGGCTCCTGTTGGCAGCTGTTCGCTTTCCCTCAGAACCATTAGCACTGCATTAATCTATTGCTTGCTGCATACAAATTACATCAAAGCTAATTAAATGGCTCTCAAAAACACTGCAGAACATTATATATTTTTAACATAATACTGTTTGATACGCAGAGCCTGAAATCCTGTTGCTTAGTATAGTAAGTCTGAACTAGTGTACGTTCACTGAATCAAAAGAACTTATAGAGGCGTTGACCCACCAAATCCCCACTGATTCAATTGACCTACTCTAGTTGTGACTTACTATGCTAAGCAACAGGATTTCAGCCCATATTTTTGACGGTTTGCAGGCTGGTGTTCCTTGCATTGGCTGGTGATTATGCAAACAATACTCAGGAGACAACATTTTTGATCACATTTTAGTGTGCCTTTTTACCCAGTCTCTCTCCCCTACATTATTTTGCTTCTCTCCTTCCTAAAGTGTTGATTGTAAGCTCCCTGAGGCCAGTATCTGTTTGGCTTCACAGGTTTTTTTTTTCACTTTACATCACTGTTCTTTGATATTCATATTAATGCTGGATAGCTCTTCATAATGAAGGATAGCAGTTTTAGAGTACTGGTGGGTCCAGGGTTCTTAAAGTGGTAGGAGAAAATGGTGATCCCCTTGGAAATTGCTAGTGAGAATTCTAGGGCTAATCCTGTCTGATAATCTTGCCACGTGATGATTCTGAAACCACTCCTGGACTTCTCATCTAAATACTTGCAGTTTAGCTCTGGCAATTTCTGTTTTTCAGTGGCTGGAAGTGCTCAAAATGTGACCTCCGGGAAAATCTTTGGCTGAACCTTACTGATGGGTCAATATTGTGTGGAAGATGGTTCTTTGATGGCAGCGGGGGCAACGGACACGCACTGGAACACTACAAAGAGATGGGTTATCCTTTAGCTGTGAAGCTTGGAACAATTACTCCAGATGGTGCAGGTTGGTCAAAGCTGTGTGTATTACAGAACTTTAAAATTGTTTCTTTCATTTTATTTAAGAAGTCTGTTTTCTTTTCTGATATGATCGTTAAAATGAATCATTTTCTCAAGATATATCTTATTTCTTGTAAGCTAGTGCTTTTTGAGTCAACCAAAAGTTCAGTCCTGTGCAAGTTCACAGAAAGCATAGGTTAGTGAAAGAAAGGGTCATTACACACTGAAAAACATACTCATCATAATCATAGTCATCTTAGAACTGCAGACCTCGAAGGGACCCTATGGATCATCCAGTCCAGCCCCTCTCAAGAAGGCACAGTGAGGAACTGAACTCCCAACCTCTTGCTCCACAGTTAGAGACTTAAACCACTGAGCCATCCAGCAGTTCATGTTATCGGACTTGTCTCTTCCTTTTCAAGGATAAGTTCAGGGAAACTATGAAGCAGTAGTAGAAAGCACAGAATTGTAAAAAATAATGTGTTAACTACAAAACAGAAAGGAGACAATATAGCCATTGTATGGGCAGGATGCATACAGCAGCCTATGGAATAGGCCAAACAAATAAATTTAGATAAATTCAGAATAAACAAATACAAACAATGAGGGGACAGGATGTCCAGCGCCAAGATAGCTATGGTAACATCCAAATTTCAGTAGAAGAGGAACGGAAGGAGAGTAATGTACAGTATTTTTGTATTTTTCTTGAAGGGCACTATAAACAAATAAATTTAGATAAATAAATTTATATAAATTCAGTATAAATAAATACAAACAATGAGGGGGCAGGATGTCCAACGCCAGGATAGCTATGGTAACATCCAAACTTCAGTAGAAGAGGAACAGAACGAGAGTATGTATTTTTGTATTTTTCTTGAAGGGCACTAGTGTGAAAGCCAGGGGGATAAAACTGAGGTGAAAATGAATCTAGAGGGCCCAATCCTTAACAAAAGCTGAGATTCTGTGTTTCAGGACTAATAGTCCTAGGGCATCAGGAAGGTTGTTAGTTCACAGAGTCATCAGCATGGCGCTTGTTCTCACTTGGATGGCTACATTTTGTGCAGGCTGTGCTATTTCAGACAATAGGTAGGCATTTCATGCAATTGAGAGCCCTTTGACTTAGCCAGAAGTAATAATCCTGTGCCTAAGAAGTTGATGAGACAATGGTAAGGGTGCTAGCCCAGCCTTCTCCCTGACCACTGGTGTTTTATATCTGGGAATATCTTTTCTGGAACATTTTCTATCAAAAGCTATTCATCCTCTCCCCACCCCCATGTTTCCCATCCCAGTGAAAATTAGCCCTCAGTTAGTTAGGGATCTGTCAATTTCTTACCAAGTGTATGTGGCCGACAGACCCAGAAAATATTTATTTATATGGACAAAGATGGTCTTTTCAGGATGAAAAGCATGAGATAGCCGTTCTTGAATCTCAGTTGTATAATCATGCTTTTACTGTAATGTGTTCCCTCACTTCACTTTTATCACGTCAATATCACAATGTTATTCCTTAACTTACGTGGATAAGGTTTTGTTTATCATAGTCCAAGGGTTCTCATGGGGCTATTTCTTCTTGTTTCCTTATGACTTCCATAGTATTTTTTCAGCATATAGAGCTTTTCTTTTATCTTCTCCCTAGGACTATGTTTATTCTGTGATTTTAAAAAAATTGACATAGTCAACAGTGGCCAGTGAAACAATGCCCAGTGAGGCAAGATTCCCTTTATTAGACAGTGTGTGGGGCCTTTTCAAAGAAAGAAAGAAAGAAAAAAGATTTTGGAATAGGAGAGTAGACTCTGAAATCTGAAGGGACCATATCACAGGACCTGGAATCCTGGAAGCTGTCTACCACATACACCAAATAAGCAAGAATACGTTGGACCGGGTGCAGCATGGGGAGGCACTGATGTAAAAGTGACAGGATTTTCATTCATATGCCTGCACCATTTTACTGCAAATGTAGCAATAAAAAAAGTGGGGATGTATATCTGTCCTCCCAACACATTCTGCTTGGGAGGATCGCTGGACCGAAACAGGTCTGGCGCTTTTCTTCACATACCACTCCCCTCCCAGTGCTGCAAATTTAGAACAAAAGGCTTTGTAGACCCTTTAGCTCAGGAGCGTTCCTCACGCAGCTCCCAGGGGCCTTGTGGCTCAGCTGGCAGCTCTCAAAGGTTCGTCTGTCTATCTTTCATGCTTTTACTATAGAATCTAATGCTGTGTCAGGAAGCAAATAAATCATAGGAACTTCTGGCTGCAATTGAAAGGGCATAGTGGCCGCTGTCATTGTTAATGGCTGTTTGCTGAAGACACAGGGACAAAATTTATTAGAGGAAAGGATGCTAATGATGCTTAGGTAGCCTTAGCAATGCACATTAAGCATGCAGTTCTGGAGATTGTGTTTGGCCAGAAAAAAACCCAAAGTCTACATCTTGAAGTCACCTGTATAATATTTTAGACAAACTAGGGCCAATATATTGTACTGTGTACAGAGTTTTATGAGGGGATTTTATAATGATGATCCCTTTAGCATTTTGAATATCCTAGGCTATTTTTACAAATATTAGTCATTGTTGTGAACAACCAACTTAGAATTAGGTGAGGGAGGAACAGTGGATCTTCCTATATTTGCTCCTCCTCCAAAATGTGTAGCAGTGGTCCATGGACTGTATAAAATCCATTTCAAAATGCTGTTACTGGGAGTACTTTTAAAAAAATCTTTAAACATTTCCTTTTTCGTTTAGAAAGGGTTCTTTTGGGGGAGTGTTTCATCCATTTTCCTATAGCTTCTTTAGTGATTCTTTCATTAAACATGGAAAGGACTGGCTCTTTTAGGCTGTTCAGTTCATGTTCATGTTTCTGGCGCTAGTCCAAATGAAGTCCTAGGTAAAGGTAAAGGTTCCCCTTGACAATTTGTCCAGTTGTGTTCGACTCTAGGGAGCGGTGCTCATCCCTGTTTCCAAGCCATAGAGCCAGCGTTTGTCCGAAGACAATCTTCCGCAGTCACATGGCCAGTGCGACTTAGACATGGAACGCTGTTACCTTCCCACCGAGGTGGTCCCTATTTATCTACTGGCATTTGCATGCTTTCGAACCGCTAGGTTGGCGGGAGCTGGGACAAGCGACAGGTACTCACTCCATCGCGTGGATTCGATCTTACAGCTGAAGATCTACAGACCTTACAGCACAGAGGCTTCTGCGGTTTAACGCACTGCGCCACCACATCCCTTTTTAATTAAGCCCTACAAAGTCCTAAAAAAGCAGGAACAAGGCAGGCAATAGAGAATCAAAAGCCCCAATTAACTTCCAAAATCAGGGGCAGGGCAGGCAACCCACAGTAAATTTCAGGCAGGTAGCAAAACTTAAATCAGTCTAACAGGGAAAACATTCCCCCCACAAGGGGGAAAAGGGCAAAATAAAAACACAATGCTCTGTTTCAGAAACCAAGAAAACCAAGGAACCAGATAAAAAGGGGGAAAATATAGTCAATGCCTCATTGAAACAACCAGAATATGGGGATATTTCCCCACCACCACCACTGATGTCATTTATTCTCTTCCTCGAGCCCACACCAGTGGGGAGCAGGTGGCAGCAAAAATAATGCAAGAGAGGAAGGGGGGAAATCGACAAACATAATTATAAAAAATTGAGGGAGAAGGGAAATCCCTCAAAAATGCAGAAAAAAGAGAGAAAGGATCTTCAAGCCCAGGTGGACAGCACAATCAAGATGGAGGTCACCCTGGAGCTCAGCAGCACACAGCTGCACTAAAAGGAGGGACTGAGGTGAAGAACATTCTTTAGTGGTTTCCAGCTAGTCGAGGCCCTTCTACAACTCAAAATTTACTTCTCACCAATGTTGATTGGCTGCTGACAACAACCCCTGTTAATATGAAAGAGGCCAGCGAGCCCAGGATCACCCAGTGGAGCTTTGTGCATGAGCCTAGATACGCATTTAACTCTGCTGAGACAAAATGCAGCAGCTACCGATTGGCCTGAACTGAATTGCAGAAGAGAGTAATGGCTTCTAAGTCAGCATGTTTTTGTACTCATGGTCTGGGTTTTACTAGGCTCTTCTTGTGTTTTTTTAAAAAAAATCATGCGAGTATATGTTGATTTTCTCTCCAGTTAGTATTCCATTGCTGATAAAAAGAGAAAAGGCCAATTAAGGCCACTCAAAGGAACACAAGCACTTTTTCCAGGTGTCAAGCTAGATTGTGACTTAACTGGGAAAGCATGAGAGTTCTCTGAGCTCATGTTTATACAAAGGAACAATAACACATTCTGGGAAACAAGCTCTGTGAACATGGCATGCCAACAGGAGGGCATGCTATGTGTCCATAAATGTCCACAAGGTCATCCTTGGCGGATGGTTAGGGATCAAATACTGGCTTTGGTGGGTTTTGAGGAGTTGGATTTAAAGCAGTGTTTCCATCATCAAGCAAAATACCTTTAAAAAAAAGAGTGTAAAACTTTCTAAGAAATCTCATGTATTTGGCCACTGGAATTGCTGTACTTCAGGCTCAAGCCTGCTGTGTTGAAGCATTGGCGTTCCAGATATTGACCCAGGGAGACACTATGGCTGATTTTGCAGTGCGCAAAGCTTCATGTGTAAAACTTAGAGGGTGTACAGAACCCAGCTAGCTGGGTTAGACTACATGGCTGCAGACCTAATAGTCAGACGTTTGCTTCCCTACTGTGTCTTGCCAGAGAAGAACCAGCTTGTGTGGCCTAAGGCAAGCTACATGGTTCCAGCTCTCCCCCAGCAGAAGATACTGGTAAAGCACTTCTGAGTACATTATACAGTGGTGCCTTGCTTAGCGAGTGCTTCGTTTAACGACAAAACTGCATAGCAATGATTTTTTGCGATCGTTTTTGTGATCGCATTGCGATGTTTTTAATTGGAAAATATCACTTTGCGATGATTGGTAAGCTGTTTCGCTTACCAATTTTCGCATAGCGATGATTTTTCAACAGCTGATTGGTGGTTCCAAAATGGCCGCCGGGTTAAAAAAAACGGCCACCCGCTGTGTTTTTGCCCGGATTCCTCGCTTACCGGCCGCCGTATGGAGGACTTTCGCTTAAAGGTTAGTTTTTTGCCCATGGAACACATTAAATGGGTTTTAATGCATTCCTATGGGCTTTTTATTTTCGCATAGCGACGAAATTGCTTTGCAGCGATTTTTGCTGCATGGATTATCGTTGCAATGCGGGGCACCACTGTACCTAGAAAACAACAACAGTACCCTCTTCCCTTGAGACAGAACAGCCTGCTGCTGCTGCTGCTGCTCCAGCTGTTGTTCTACTCAAATGTTTTAAGAATATTAAAGCTTCTATATTTTGCTGTTCAGCCAAGTAAGACTTACAAGACAACAACAATGCTAACTGCATGCAGAAGATCTAGAGGCTAGATCTAATCTCCCAGTTAATTGTAGGTTTTCTTCCTCTGTATCTCTGAATTATAAAAGATAAAGTTAGGTCCTGAGATGTTTCCATTTAGATCTTTGGGAAATCAAACCTGATTGACAGGGCCATCCAAGAGTGGACCCATCTTTCCCTAATTCTGCAAGGCAGGTGCCAGGAAAATGGAAATGCACAGGACTTTGGGGTCGATGAGGCAGCAAGTCCCTTCTCCCTGCCCATCCCATCAGGCTTCTTCCCCCTGCAGGTGAAGAATCCCTACTACAACTACACTCTGATCGTGCTGTCTCCCTCTTTGTCAAGGAACATGCTTTCTACATTTTTCTATTCTCATCGATATGGGAAGTTTCTCCTAATTTTATGGCCACTACAAAACCATTACAGAGCTTATAGGATTGCCTGCTAAATAAGGAACTCTTTCCTTATTTTTTTTCTGGCAGGTGAGAACAAAACATACCAGACATTTTCTTCCCACTAGGCAAGATTATGGGATTCCGAGGGTAGTGTAGTGGAGAGAGTAAGAGACTATTGAATCCTCGCTCAGCCATGGAAACTCACAGCGGGAATGGAACTGGTAAAATCACTCATTTGAAAGCCCTACTAGGGTCTCTATAAATAGTCAGTTTCGACTTGATGGCACAGAACACATAAACAGGAAAAGTTATAAGAGTTTTTCTGCATTTTTTACATTTTGGACTTTTTTGGTAAAAATTACAAAGAAGTGTCTTTTGCACAAAAATCTTGCATTTTTGCACCATTTTCTTATGGGCAGTATAACTGTTTGGCAGAAAACTTTTGTTGCTGTTAGTGCTACAACTGATGAAAAAAAATCTCATCTTTTTGCTCATGCAGGACAGAGAAATCTTATAAGTGTTGACCACTTTTTCATGGATATCTCATTGTTTCATTATTTAGTGTGGTTTTGAATTCAGTTGTCCCAAGACATAATTCATCACTTTCTCCACTACACCACACTGACACAATTTGGAGTGTGTACATTAAAGAAGTGACAGACTTGAGTTTACAGGGATGTTGAGGATGGAACACCCCTGAACAGGGGTGTTGAAGATAGAATGTTTTAGAGATCATTCATTCATAGGGTTGCCATAAATTGGAGGTGACCTGATGGCACATTTCTTTAAAAACAAGCAAGTCTTTCACAAAATTCATTAGCAATAATAAATAGTTGCCTGTAAGAATGCTAAGTCAATGTGGCAGTTTTCATGATGTCTTTGCCTGTAAAGTCATTTTCATATTACTAAATGAAACAAGTGAGAATCTTTATTAGTTGTTTTCTACCTGTTATGAGATTAATGTTTTTCAGGTGGTTATCCCTAGGAGACACATATCAGTATATTTAAACAGAGGGATAAAATTAAATCACAAGTACATGTAATATTCCAAAACCAATTATCAAGTTATGATAATTGTGCAGGTTAGATTAAAACTAAAACTGCAATTAACTGTATTTTGCTTTCAGCAAATGCAATACCAGCGTTTCTTTTCACACATTTCATTTCAGTTTCTTATGTGTTGCTGGGATATTAAATAGTTTTGTTTAGGAATTAGCTAAAGTTTAGTTAAGCTAAATCAAATCACACTCTATTAGGTCCTTAGAAGTTTTACCTAGAAATGTTAAATTGTCTGGAAAAATCATCTCACTGTCTTTTATATGAGAGGGTTAAATGGTAGCTTGTTAAGCTACTTGTTCCATATGGACACTGATGAACAACTTTGATAGGCATTGTGAAAATAGGTTCACCCCAGCACGTGCCTTAGGCTCCACTTCAGCGAGAAATGGCCAAAGATTTCCACCTATAGGAAAGAAGCAACAAGTTGACTATTTCCAATTTTGATTTTTGTAGTTTAGAAGTTTAGAGGAGACTCAGGATGTATTGGATAACCCTAATATCTCTGGAACAAAACCCACTGTTCCCGGAAGCCTCCAAGAATGGGGAACACATTTTGGTCTTTAAAAGAAGGAACAGTTATTTTCTTTGGGGGACCTTGGGGTAGGGCCCTGGGACAGCCTGGGGGGCTGTGAAAATGTCCTTGAGAATGTTGCCTGTTGGCCATGTGTTGCACATCACTTACCCATATATTAAGTGAGTTCTTGCTCTTTACCATAAACAAAAAGCAATTTTCTTTCTTGTTGAAAAAAAATCCAGTACTGTACAATATATTGGAAGTGCAGGAAGACCTCTCCAGCCTCCTTACAAGTGGTTCCTCACCACAGAGTGCTAAACTGGCCATGCTAAAATCCCTAATTCATTCACAGTCTCACCAAACTGTAAAATATATTTCTCTATTTTACTGTACTTCTGGGAATCATAGAATCATAAAATAGTTGGAAGGGGCCTACAAGGCCATCAAGTCCAGCTCCTTGCTCAAGGAAGGAATACAGTCAAAGCATATCTGCCAGGTGATTATGCAAGTTTTTCTTGAATGCCTCCAGTGTTGGAGCACTCACCACCTCTCAAAGGTAATTGGTTCGACTGTCGTACTGCTCTAACAGTTAGGAAGTTTTTCCTGATATTCAGCCGATACCTGGCTTCCTTTAACTTCAGCTGATTATTGTGTGTCCTTCACTCTGGGATGATTGAGAACAGATCTTGCCCCTCCTCTGTATGACAGCCTTTCAAATATTGGAAAAGTACTCTCATATCACTCTTCAGTCTTTTTTTCTCAAGGCTAAACGTGCCCAATTTTTTCAGCCTTTCCTCATAAAGCTTGGTTTCGAGCCCCCTGATCATCCTTGTCGCCCTCCTCTGAACTTGTTCCAATTTTTTTAGCATTCTTCTTGAAGTGCGGTGTCCAGAACTGGACACAAGACTCAAGGTGAGGCCTAACCAGTGCTGAATTGAGGGGGACCAACACCTTGCGGGATTTGGAAACTATGCTTCTGTTAATGCAGCCTAAAATAGCATTTGCCTTTTTTGTAGCTACATCACACTGTTGGCTCGTATTTGACTTGTGATTTACAACAATTCCAAGATCCTTCTTGCTCATTGTTTTGCTGAGCCAGGTATCCCCCATCTTGTAACTGTGCAATTGGTACTTTGCACTTATCCCTGTTGAATTTCATTCTGTTGCTTTCGGCCCAGTGCTCCATGCTATCAAGGTCATTTTGAATTTTGTTTCTGTCTTCTAGGGTATTAACTATTCCACCCAATTTGGTATCATCTGCAAATTTGACAAGCATTCCATGCACTCCCTTATTCAAGTCATTAATAAAAATATTGAAGATCACTGGGCCCAAGACTGAGCCTTGGGGTACCCACTTATGACCTCCTCCCAGTTAGAGAAGGATCCATTAATCATCACTCTCTGAGTATGATTCTGTAGCCAATAGTGTATCCACCTGACACTTGATCTATCCAGCCCACACCTAGTTAGCTTGCTAATCAGGATATCATGGGGCACTTTGTCAAACGTTTTGCTAATGTCAAGATATACTACATCTACGTCATGCCCTCTGTCTATCAGGGAGGTTACCCAATCAAAAACCGAGATCTGGCAGGATTTGTTCTTAACAAATCCATGTTGGCTTCTAGTTATTACTGCATTGTTTTCTAGGTGCTTGCACAATGATCACTTTATGATCTGTTCCAGAATTTTGCCTGGGATTGATGTCAGACTGATTGGCCTGTAGTTCCTAGGTTCCTCTTTTTTGAAGATGGGGACAACATTGGGAATGTCATCAGCACTGGACCGGCTTTTCTATGGATTCATCCCACAATGCTGCAATAACATTTAGTATATGGCATTTTTGAACAAAATAGGAAGTGCATTTGTATTGCTCAGGTTTGCTTAACCATTTTAAAAGAAAAAAACCAAACAGTGACAGTGAACAGTGGTATGAAAATTATTTTGAAAATGAAGGGTTGTCACGTAAAGGTGGCTTCTTCTTTTTCTCTTTTAATATCTGAAGGATATGTATTTCCTGGTTGCCAACAATAACATTGTAATCTGTAGGATTTAGTGAACAAATTGTACTGAATCACTATATTTACCTACTACTCTACTGCTCATGTGCAGCCAAATTGTTGTAGCTCAATCTGTTCTGTAGGTGGCAAAGTTTCAGATTGTTTTATCATTAAATAGTATTGATGCAGAACACCATTGAACTGCCTCCTCTATTCTTATGTTTGCAGATGTTTATTCCTTTGATGAAGAGGAGGCGGTTTTGGATCCCCATATAGCCAAACATTTAGCACATTTTGGAATCGATATGCTTCAAATGCATGTAGTAAGTGAATTGCCTTTTACGTGGAATCTCTCCTCAACACAGAAAGTACAAAAATGTATGCCAATGGAAGAATCATTTTTCTAGTCGTCTTGGGGGTATTTACCCAAGCTTATTTACTTTAAATATATGTAATCGACTTTGCAGACTATGTTCTACTAATTGACACTGAATAATCTAATAAAACAGCAGATGAGTGGTTTCAGTGAAGCTCTAATGGTGCATAATACAGTGGTGCCTCGCTTAGCGAGTGCAACGTATAGCGATGTTTCCGTATAGCGATCCCTTTTTCGGGATCGCTATATGGAAACATACCCGATCTTCGCAATGGGGAAAACCCGCATTGCGAAGATCGGGTATGCCGTTTTCACGCCCTGCCCTCATTTAGCGAGGGCACGAAAATGGCTGCCAGCAAGGGGAATCCTCGCTGAACGGGTAAGTAAGCAAGGTATTGGAACGCATTAAACTAAGTTTAATGCGTTTCAATACGTTTTCCCTACCCATTTAGCGACAATTCCGCATAGCGAGGGTTAATCAGGAACGGATTAACCTCGCTATGCGGGGCACCACTGTATATGTGCATTTCGACTAGCTTTACCTCATGCACAGAGCACAACCAGCCCAGTATATATGGAGGAACTATGAAATAAAGAGAAATGTTGGAGAAAACAAAAGAAAAGTAAGGAACAAAGAAGACAAAATGTGGCGCCTTAAAGACTAACTGCTATATTTTAATGTGAGCTTTCATGGATAAGTCCACTTCCTCAGACACAAGAGTGAGACTACATGGCAAATATTAATACTGTACCATGTAGGCAGATATATATGTACACACAGATGCGCGCACACTTAATGTGTCTCCACATTTGTGTGTGTGTACGTGTGTGTGTATACCTATACTTCTATCTGCTTAATGGAGAGAGAAGTTTCAATATGTATCAAGGTTACAATATGAATTGTAAACCGGTGGAGAATTTGCAGCTGTGTTACTATATACAATACAGTGGCACCTCAACTTACGAACGTCTCCACTTGCAAACGATTTGAGTTACAAATGGCTCCATTCGCAAAAAGTTGCTTCAACTTGCGAATGGAGCCCTGACTTACGAACAAAAAGAAAGAAAGAAAAAAAACCCTTTCCTGCCCTTTTATTGACCTAAGTTCACCTTAGGTCAAAAGAAGAAAAAATAAAATAAACTCACCTCCTAGTGGCAGAGTACAGATTAACTGGCTTTGCATTAGTTCCTATGGGAACTAATGCTTCTACCTATGAACAGCACCTTGACATACAAACAAAAAACAGCCTGAACAGGTCATTAAATGGTTTTCAGTGCATTCCTATGGAAACGTTTGCCTCAACTTACGAACTTTTCAATGTATGAACGCCGTTCCAATACGGATTAAATTCGTAAGTCAAGGTACCACTATAATCCATTCCTTCTTTTATCCGGAATCTAGTACTAATAAATTAATATGAGGTACTCCCAGTGTCCAAAGTGCTTTATATGCTTCTTTTAGTCATGATAGCCATTAGGTGGGTTATTTAACACCTAATGAATAGGAGAGGTCTGAGATCTGAACAAGGAATTTCCCAATTCATGGCTCAGTCTCCTAGTCTTCTTTCAGAGGGAAGATGTGGTTCCATATACCATCTTTACCACAGACTTGATGTGAAAGTTCTATAAAGAAACGGGCCTCTTTTTGGAGACAGTAGTGACTCTCTGTGCTACAGTAATAAAGTGTAATTATGCTCTTGATTAGCATTGCTTGAATAATGGTTGTTGTGGCTTTTTCGGGCTCTTTGGCCGTGTTCTGAGGGTTGTTCTTCCTCACGTTTGACCAGTCTCTGTGGCTGGCATCTTCAGAGGACAGCACTCTGTGCTCTGGCAAAACGTTAGGAAGAACAACCCTCAGAACACAGCCAAAGAACCCGAAAAACCCACAACAACTATTAGATCCTGGCCATGAAAGCCTTCGCGAATACATTGCTTGAATAGTTCAGCAGTGGGAGACATAATCCAATTTAGTCTTTGGCAAGTAGAAAGCAAGCTGTTTTTGTTATGGATGATACCATTCCATTCATGACAAGATTACCGTTTCATTTTAAATGCCCTTTCTTTTTAAGTTCTTGAACTATTCTTCTGCAAGCTGTTGCTGCTGCTATTCCAAAATGTCTCTTCCATCCAGATAGAGAACGGCCTGAAAGATAATGACATTAAACCTCGTGTCTCCGAATGGGAAGTGATTCAGGAATCTGGTATGAAGCTGAAGCCAATGTATGGACCAGGATACACTGGCATGAAAAACCTGGGCAACAGCTGCTATATCAACAGTGTTCTACAGGCCATTTTCAGCATCCCTGAATTTCAGAGAGCGTAAGTTGTCCCAGGGATGTTTTGTCTAACAGCTGAGCCGCTGACAAGTCTTTGCTGATATAAATGTTCAAGTGCATGACTGGGAGAAGAGGCCAAAGCGTCATCTGAGTTCTGAACTTTCCAATGACAAGCAGTATTTAGATGTTTTTCTTTCTTAGAAAAGTTACTACCAAGAGGTGGTTCATACATTATGCGGTGTCAAACTCCAGTCTGTTACTGGATTTATGCTCAATAGGGTGCTGCAGTTATAATATTTCTCCATATATAAGACCATACTTTTGTCTAAAATCTTTAGAATAAAAATTGAGGGTCGTCTTATACATGGAAGTAAGCTGAGGAAAGAACAAAAACAAGGGGAAAGGAAAGCAGGGATCAAAGCGATCCCGCAGGGCTTTGATCCCTTTCCCCCTACACTTGCTAAGCCCCACTTAGATTACTTAATTTTGGGTTAGAAAAGTGGTGGGCATCTTATATATGGGGTGTCTTATACACAGAAAAATACGGTACAGTAATTGGGACTCCCTGATAAGCATTTCTATTTGTTAGCAAAGTTTCCTTGTGTTGTCAGTTTTTTGGTTTTTTAGGTGTACACCTAAATGAATAATATGAAATGACAAGAAGCACTGGTTCAAGTTTTTTTTTAACTGCTCTGCTTTCCAGGGATTTTTTTTTCCTCCTCAAGCTTGTGTCAGCCATCTTTTTAGTGAGTGAATACATAGAAATTGCCGAGTGCTACAGTGTGAATCCCATGAGAATCTCTTGATGAGAGTGATTAAATATTAAATATTTATTTTATCCCTTCCCGTTCTCATATTTACTAGTTTTCTGACTACAGATTAACTGCTGGTTTCATTTCCTTGTTAATTGCTGCTAAGTTGCTTCTGACTTGTGACAACCATATGAATTAATGACTTTCAAAAGGTCCTGTTGTTAATAGCCCAGCTCAGGTCTTGCAAAGGTGTATTCCAAGATGTCTTCCACAACAACGAAAGTTTCCAATGTGAAGCAATCTGTAATCTTTGATTATTTCTTCTCCTTCTCCCACTGTTTTCCCTGGACAGGTATGTGGGAAACCTTCCGAGAATATTTGACTACTCCCCTCTGGACCCAACACAAGATTTCAACACACAAATGTAAGTGGATAGTTTGTGTTAAAATAAGTTTGTGTTGGGTTTCTCTCAATGAACTTGTCTCCCACATAGTTTACTTTGGTTATAGTCCTTGCAGTGCATGCAGAAAAAGTTGATTGTATCCTTTATATAGGGGAAGTCAATCAATTGACTTCTGATTCAGTGAGAAAGTTCCTTTTCAGATTCGTTTGCTGGCAAAATTTGTAGTGCCAGATACTCAAAACAGATCTGTCTTCTGTGATAATCTTTCATTTTAAAGGTGAACTATCATGTAATTCATCATATACAGTGCTGCCTCGACTTATGAACGCCCCTACCTACAAACATTTCGACTTACGAACAGCTCCGCTCACAAAATTTTGCTTCGACTTGTGAGCGGAGCTTCGATGTAAGAACAAAAAAAGGCAGGGGAAAAAGGCTGGGAAATTCAAACCGTTGGTGGTGAAGAGGCTGCTTTTTTGTAGCTCTTTCACCCGAACGGTTAAAGCATGGGTCAGGGAACTTTTAGAAACTTCTGGGTGGGTTTTGCAGGGTGGGTTTCGGCTGAGGGGGTGCTGTGTTGTTGTTTTTTGCAGTCCCAGCGTGGGGATTTCTCAATGTTTATTTTTGGGTTTTTGTTTTTGTTTTGTTTTTTCCAGCCTTCGGGGCTTGCTCTATTAATTTTTGGTTGTTGTTGTTTCTAAAGCCCCAGCACCTTCCGATGGGGCTTTCCATGTGCTTTATATTATTTTTTTGTTTTTTTTTAAATGCTGGAATGGATTAATCCTGTTCCCATGCATTTCAATGGGAAATGGTGCTTCGACGTACGAGCATTTCGACCTACGAACACCATTCTCTAATGGATTAAGTTCGTAAGTCGAGGCACCACTGTAAATGGAATTGAGCATTTGCTAAATTGAGCATCTGTCGTTCTTATGCGATCTAAGTATTTTGATTTTATTCGTGTTTTGATATAACCAACTGAGTTCAAGAATGTCTGTTTTTATCTGTGATCTGATTACTGTACATTGCCAGGGCCGATCATCGAAGTAATAAACCTGAATTGGATTGTATTTCTGTCAATGACGACTGACTCACAAGTTGAAATTTATCCTGATGAAAGTATCAGTGAAAAAAAAAGTTTGTCTTGTGAAGATGGATAGCTAAAATGTCACAGAGTGAAGGTGTGATGCAGATCACACTTGGAGAATAGAAAACCAAGATAAAATAACAAGGATGCAAAAAGACAAAGAGATAAGGGGCTATTAAGGTTTTTTAAACATGGAGGATTTAGAACAGATTTCAGCACATCTTTGGCTCCACAGATCAAAAGTGCTATGTATTAACGGACCCTTGGGCATCAGATAAAGGACCTATTGAGTTTGCCATGATAGCCAACCTAATGTATATTCGAAAGCCACAAGCAACATGTGGTTTTCCCCAACAGTTTAGTATGCAGAGACATGTTGCTTTTGGTCTTAGTGGGAGGGTATGTAGGCATAATTAAATTTTTTCACCTATCTTATGCTTTTCTCCTGAGCTTAGGTGGTTTGTGTTACTTTTAATATATGTCAGTTCAAGGTTCTTCGGCTGTATAGAAGTTTCCATGGGAGGTAGGAGGAAAGATATCTGAAGTGTTTTACTCCAATCTGGTCACTGGGGAGTTGTTTTTTGGCGTCCCAGGAACTGCTTCCTGAGAATTTAGAAACAACAGCAACAAGCAACATGTTTGCCCTGTTGTGCTTCTGATAGGATAGTCTGTTGCTCAGGTGTGGTACTTGGCAGTTGCTAAGTAAAAGCAAATGCACCCATTTCCCCTGTACATATTTTGTTGTATAATACAAATAATTATGTATAGTGAGATGGTTGCAAGGTGGTTTTCTTGGAAGTATCTGAAAGAGCATTGAGAAACTTTCTTTCTGTTGAAGATTGCACTCCAGTAGTGGCTTGTTCATAGCCAGAAATGAGCAGGGCCTCCGTTTCTCTCTATGTGTCACCCCTTTTTCTCCCCATAGAGTAGATTGCCAGAGGGAGAGATGAATCACTTGTTACTAGAGAGCTGAGCTTGCAAAGTGCTGTTGAAATTAACCAGCTGCTCTTCTTGATCAATAAAAAGCCTTGCTTCTTGTTTTATTAATGGTACAGTATTTCATAAAATATTAGGCATATTAATATGTGTAAGTTAAAAATAAGATGTATACGTTGATTAGAGGACCTGGGCTCAGGTGTCTGTGCTCTAAATTTTGCTCAGAATAGTCTAGCTACTGTTTATGCTTATTGTCCTTTGTACATTGCATGTCACAATATTTTAAGCTTAATTGGAGTGTTGTGGTGCTAGAGAACACTCGCTTTTGTGGGTTTGCAATGCATGTGAACAGACAGGCAATAGTTGACCTTATTGTCAACTTTCTGCTATTTCTTTCTTCTTTAAACATAGTAGGAAGTAATGTTGTCTGCTTTCTGTTTCCTCTTTCCCTATCCTTCACCCTCTACTACAGGGCTAAATTGGGACATGGCCTCCTTTCAGGCCAGTATTCTAAACCACCAATGAAATCTGAGCTCATTGAACAGGTGATGAAAGAAGAACACAAGGTAATTGACACAGCATGTGCAGCCTTGAGAACTAGGTAGAAGAGGCAACTTGAGAAAAGGGAACAGGTGTGAAGGATTGTGGCTGGGATGTTTCAACAACACAATGGCCAAAGCCTTGTTGCACACTTATGTAAAAGGCTTAACTTCTGGTGGCAAATTGCCATAAATTAAGAAATCTCCATGGACATTATTTGTTGCGTCTTCAGGCACATGACATAGTGTGCCACAGGTAATAATGCCTATGGACATTTCTTATCTTCCAGCAATTTGCTACCAAAATTTAGCACGTTTTGCATAACTGCGCAACAGCTGGCCAGTGGTCTCTTGGAAAGTTATTGCCATTGCATTTTGCATTCCCTTAGTAAATTTCTTTGTGGAGTCAGAGAGAACTGACAAGGGCTTCTCTGCCTTAGGTCTTCACAGGGTACACCTCACTAAAAAGTATTCTGCCTAGAGTGGTAGAGCCTGCCAGATGGGCGGGATACAAATCAAATCAAATCAAATCAAATCAAATCAAATCAATCAATCAATCAATCAATCAATCAATCAATCAATAATAATGATGATGATGATGATGATGATGATGATGATGATGATGATGATGATGATGATGATAATAATAATAATAATAATAATAATAATAATAATAATAATAATAATAATAATAATAATAATAATAATAATAATAATAATAATAATAATAATAATTCCATTCCACTGTATCTGAGATCAAAAAGCAGCAGTAATGTCTCTGTGAAGACCTTTGAACGTGGCCTCTGTGTGATTCCACTTCAGTGGTTCCCAAACCTAGGGCCTACATTATTAATAGACTTCAAGTTTCAGATGGCCTACCATTGGTTGCTCTCATTGGTCAGTCATCTGCCCAGATATGCTTAGATTTGGATTCCTGCATAGAGCAAGGGGTTAGACTCAATGGCCTTATAATCATCTGCCCAGATATGCTTAGATTTGGGCATAGATTTGCATAGAGCAAAGGGTTTGACTCAATGGCCTTATACATCCCTTCCAAATCAATGATTCTATGAGAGTTGGACCTTCTGAGAGTTGTAGTCAAAGAACATTTGAGGCTGTAGTTCAAGAGTGCAGATGTAGGGTTATGATCTGGTTTTAAACTGATATAGGTTCCTCCTTCATGTATGGTTTGTGGTGTGTGTGTAAAGCCGCATGTTGTTTGTAAGATGCTGTGTGTATCTTACAAACAACGTGCAGCTTTATTTAAATACAATGTTGAAATGTTGTTAAATGCAGAGGTGGGCAATTTCCAACCCTCCACATAGTATTGAACTAAATCTGCTCATTGGCTATGTCAGCTCAGGCTGATGAGATTATTATCCAGTAACATTTAGGGGACCATAATTTGTCCACCAGCAGTCTAGTATAACAGGTATGAGTCTTAGGCTCACATGTTCCGCCCCCTTTCCTGAGCTCCACTTGTCTTGACACAGTTTCAATAAAATGGCCTTAAATCAGAACCTTAGTTATTTTTTGTTGAAAATTACATAGTCCCAAGTTTGATGTTATCATAGTAATCATACTTAGCAGTTTGTCTAGAATTGTTGAACCTACTAAGCCATGATCGAGTTTGTTGTCAGTCCTTGTGAATTCTGGTGTTTTGAGTCTGAGATGGGAGGTCTGCTGGTAGATCTTCCATGTCATGTAATTTTATCCACGGAAAGATTGTCTTCGGACAAACGCTGGCTCTATCAGTCCTTGTGAATTCTGGTGTTTTGAGTCTGAGATGGGAGGTCTGCTGGTAGATCTTCCGTGTCATGTAATTTTATCCTCAGTTCAAGACTAAAAACTCCTGGTATAGATGTACCTAAAAAACAGCTCAGTGCCCCAGGCACTGTAACCCGGACAAGCTGGAGCATTTAAGACCTGTCCCTAAATCTAATTAATTAATTAATTAATAACAATAGCAAGAGACCCAGTACAGGATTTTTATTAACTTCTCTAGTTGATTGAGGCTTAAGCATTTTAAAATTTAACCTTGTTTTAAAATAAAGAGATCTTGTTGCTTTCTGGCAGTACCACTGCAGGACATTAAGATGCTTGGTTGAGAAATGAAAAAGTGAAGATTTTTAAGGCTCCCAACTCTATGGGCTTGGCTTACTATGGTGCTATCCAGCTTAGTTCAGCCTATGTCCAGTTAGTTTTATTGCAGCTGTTGCCCTGAAATGTGGAAACTCCTGACAGATTTCTTCCTTCTTTGTAAAATTCTCCCTTTAAGGAGATATATTTGGAACAGAATGGTCACCATGTAATAGATACTAGAGATGCAGTAGCTAGAGAGGAATTTTTGTTCCTGGAAGAACTACTTGGGGGTAAACACAGGGGTTTATTTATAGCTGGGTTGGGAGTCTAATCACTAGGTAAATCAATTAAACTTTGAGTTTAGTAATCCACCAGAGTGAGTTTTAGTCAGCTACGGCAAATTTTATTTGGCTAAACCAAGTATTAAGAGAGATGTACTGTCTATTCTATAAAGTTTGTTTTATAATAATCATCTTAGAATTGCAGAGCTAGAAGTTCTGAGATGATGATGATGATGATTACAAAACAAACTATAGACGACATGGTCCATCTCTCTTATTGCTTGGTTGAGCCAAATAAAATTGCCATAACTGACTAAAACGGACCCTGGTGGATTGCTCAACTTAAAGTTTAGTTGATTAACCTACTCATGTGTTCCTTCTTTAACAGAGGTTGAAGATAAAATGTCACAGGCAATATTTCTTTTTAATAATGAGATTTCCTTGATTAGATGTTATGCGTCCGTGCACTCTGACCTTTCAAAAGGCTACGTAGCATTGCATATCCCAGTTTACAGAGAACAGCAGATGGCTTTAACAGACTAGAGGAAGATGTGAAATGTTTTGACATGCCCAACTGTTGTGGAGAAAGTGAGTGCATTTTGACTGTTACCCTATAATAGGCCTAACCGTATGTGTGAAGACCTAGACAGCTGCCCTGCTTTATCATCCTTCGAAGTCATATCCAGTTTTCAGCCGAAAGCACACTGGATCACCACTTTTCAGTTTTAATGCCGCCTCTATGAAACTGAAACGTACCGTATTTTTCGCACCATAAGACGCACTTTTCCCCCACAAAACAGAGGGGTGGAAAGTCTGTGTGTCTTATGGAGCGAAGAAAACAGATTATATTTTCCTGTTTTCTTCTCCTAAAAAATTGGTGCGTCTTATGGAAAGGTGCGTCTTATGGAGCGAAAAATACGGTAGTGACGATTAGTGTCAGTATTTCCCTCTAGTTTTATTTCAGACAAATAATACCACATCTGGTGTAAAGGACTTTTGGGCAGATTTGTACAAGTGTATTCTTGTCATTTTGAATGTGGAAAACACACACATTGCATCTTGTCTGTTAATACTCTTTGTAAAGCACTGTTGTGTTTCCTAATTTCTTGCATGTTTTGGAATCCACCCGGATGGATGTCATAGGGTGCCTCCTGCCTAAAACATTCATGGCAGAGATTTAATGATCTGGCCCAGTGTATTTTTAGCTAAACTGTTTTGCAACTGTTGATGAGGGAAGCATGCCCAGAATTTTTTTTTCACTCTCCCTTTCTCTGTGTATAAATACACACGACAATCTGTGTGCTAAAAACTGCTTGTGCAGTGCAGGAAATAATCTGGGTGAGTGGAGGATGTTCCTTTAAAGCAAACCTTATTAAAGTGGGCTGCCAGCCCAAGGTGGGAAAGTGAGATTGGTACAGGAAATCCGGAGGGAGCTGGTGCAAACAGGAAAAAGAATAGTGTTAGGCTGTAACTCCCTTGTCATACTGAATGTACCCAGGTAAAGGATAGAAGGACATGAGACAGGTCGTCCTTTAGAAGATGTTAGGGCTAGGAAGTACTGGATTTATCCACACTACCATCTTAAACCTGTATAATAGCCATTCTCCCGTGCCAAAGAACTTCTGCGTGCTCTGGTCCATGGGGTCACAAAGAGTCGGACACGACTAAACGACTAAATAACAACAACAATGAAAAGCAACAGAAGATTGGCATTGGATGAGACTGAGTTTTCAGCCAGTTCTGCATTAATTTTACTACAGTGGCCACCCAGATGCTCTGAGAAATGCTCTCCATCAGCACAGGATGAAGGCAATAACTCTCTATTGTTGCTTGCCCTTCAGACAGTTGGTCTGCAGAGTTACATTGGCTCCTGAAAAAGCAGAGTCTGACAAAGTGATGTCTCGAAGCTCAAACGACAGAGTGTCTTTTGGTTATTGAGGCTCATGGCCCTTGAAAGCCTCACCTTACATTGATCCACTCTTGCTCTTAAAACCATTCAAAGCCACACATGTACATGTTCTCAGTCCTTATGTACATCTATAATTTAGATTATTCTTTTGGATCAATCATGACAGCTAAAGCGTTGAAAAAAGTTTTGTGTAAGTTAGGTGATTGTTTCATTGTTATTTTTAATTATTTTTAATTTTAAATAAAATTGTTTAAATTGTTTAAATTTACCGTATTTTAATTTTTAAAAATTATTTCTAATTTTCCCTGTTCTGAAAGGAGCAAAGCAACACACAGTATATAAACTGCTAATAGAAAGCCCTGAACAAGGTTGCTGTAAGTCAGAATTGATTTGATTAGACACTATTATTATTATTAATAAAGGATCCCCTGATTGTTCAAATTGATCTTTTTCCTTCTCCTTCTCTACTGCCTCAAAATTGATAACACGGAAATAGCAGTCTTCAAGGTTTCTTGAGAAAACGTTGCAGGTTTTATACAAAAGATCGTGATCACAATATGGTTTCCGTCATATTAAATGCAACATTTATTACAAGAAAACGGTTACTGCAATAAACTGTTTTCTGCTTCCTTCTGTAGCCTCAGCATAATGGAATTTCTCCTCGCATGTTTAAAGCTTTTGTAAGCAAAGGGCATCCAGAATTCTCCTCCAGTCGGCAACAAGATGCACATGAGTTTTTCTTACATCTTATAAATCTAATAGAGGTGAGCAAAGGTTTACTGCTATTTGTCTGTCTCCTTCCACATTAGAAAACAAGCAAAAATGTGCCAGTCTTATATATTAATATTAGGTATTTTTTTAAATAAAGTACCTATGTGTATATATATTGCCTTTGCAGATTTATATGAGCAAGGATGCTGTGTCCTTGCCCCAGCAAGATAGTGATATAAATTTGGAAAGCAGGGGAAACAACAGAAAAAAAAATGGGGATTACTCTTTCATTCTTAGCAGAAAAACATCCCTGATTTAGCTGAGCTTGTTTCCAGTGACTAATTTAGCTAAAATCAATGCAGTTCCTTTTAAATAAATCAATTGGAAAGCAGTGTGCAGTGCCTTATCATATTTAATCTTAAGGGAACAGCCATGAAATAAATCTAAAGAAAATCAATGCAGATGTCTCTTAAACTGAATTTCGAACAGTGATGAAGGAGAGAAATCATTCTTTTACAAAGCTTGTTTCTAGAACATTGATGGCAAGAGTGATGAGATTTTCCCTTTCATGGAAGCAGTGTACAACACTGCAAAAATCATTTCCATCATTCAAATATGTCAATGTCACTTGATTGTAAAATAGCATGTGCTTTACAAACTGTGATGTGTAGCTTGTGTAGCACGGACAAGCATCGTGCCATGGATTTCAAAGACTGAGATTCTAGGTTTCTACAGAGAAGAGACTGAACCATCTTACTCTCTAGCTGGTCCCAGTGTTGCTGATTTTCACAAGCCCAGTCTTGCTGAAATGAGTCCCTCCCAGAGCTTGGAAAAAGTACTTTTGTTGGTCTAGAAATCAGATTCTTCTGGCTATGTTGGCTGGTGAATTTGGGGAGCTCAGTGTTGGGGAGTTCAGTGTTGCCCTGAACATTAAAGGAGGCTCATTAGCAGCCCCACCTCTGGGGTTGTAGTCAGTACAACAGAACTTCCTAACCAAGAGCACAGTTGTAACAACTTGAAAAACTGACCATATTGCCTGGGAGATTCTGGGAGTTATAAGTAAAAAGTGTAATGTATTCTCGAAGGCTTTCATGGCCGGGATCCAATGATTGTTGTAGGTTTCTCAGGCTGTTCGGGCATGTTCTGGAAGTTTCTCTTCCTAACGTTTCACCAGTCTCTGTGGTCGGCATCTTCAGAACTCTGAAGTTAGAACTCTGTGTTCTGGTGTAGTGTGTTTTCAACTATCCCACACACTACTCCAGAACACAGAGTTCTAACTCTTATCCTCTGAAGATGCTGGCCAAAGGGACTGGTGAAACGTTAGGAAGAGAAACCTCCAGAACACGGCCAAACAGCCCGAAAAACCTACAACAACCAAACAATGTAATATTTCCTGGCTCTTGGCTAGCATCTTATTTTCAACACTTGGCAGCCTCTGGAGAAGTTACAAGTAGGGAATAAAATAACAGCCTTCTCCTTTGTTTTCCCCCTAGTTCTTAATACAGTGGTGCCCCGCTTAACGCCTACCCCGCTTGACGATGAATCCGCTTCACGATGACGTTTTTGCGCTCGCTTTTGTGATCGCAAAACGATGTTTTAATGGGCAAAAACCGCTTTACGAGAATCAGTTCCCTGCTTCGGGAACCGATTCCTCGCATTACGACAATCAAAACAGCTGATCGTCAGGTTTTCAAAATGGCCGCCGGCTGCTCAAAATGGCTCTCTGCTGTGTTCAGGAAGGAATTTTTCGCTGCACAGGCATGGAAAATGGCCGCCCTATGGAGGATGTTCGCTGGACGCTGAGGTATACAGCCCTTTGGAACGCATTGAACCGGTTTTCAGTGCATTTCAATGGGCTTTTTTATTTCGCTTGACGAGGATTTCGCTCTACAGCGATTTCGCTGGAATGGGTTATCCTCATCAAGCGAGGCACCACTGTATCTGGAGATATATTGTCTCTTGATACTAAAGTTTACCCATTTAGTGATGGTGGTTAGTAGGTACTGATAGAGATGGGCCTTGTCCTAGGTGGGCATCAGGGTTTGCTCCTTCCCTGTCCTGTGCCGAAGCTGCTGCCAGCTGCTATGGCAGTACGTAGGCTCAGCACGTGCTATGCAGATGCCCAGTTGCCTAGTGCAAGGGAACATTCAATTGACAAGGCAGAAAGCCATTTTGCATGTTTGGAAAATAAATATATAGGACAATCTTCTGTGTACCATGTTGCTTTTACAGACAGCAGACCAAATCATGCTGCGTAAGGCTGATGACATCTTAATTAGCAGCAATTTGTTTTGAAATTATACATTTTTGATTCCACCCCTCCCCCCAAGGTTCTATGGCTCCTGTATAATCCCTTTCATCATGAGCAACCAGGATGGGAGGGGGAAGCCTTTAATTACTGAAAACTGTTGATGATGGTAAAAGCCAGCCCTTGCTGTCACAGTGTTTTCTCCATACAGACAGATTCACGGGTTTTAGAATGTCCTTTCAAACCCAGTATTTTGCACCTTAAAAATTCAAACCCACATGGATATTTTCATGTTCTTGAATATCTTCCTGATTCTTTTCCCCCCCTGGAGATGACACTCCTGCGAGTCCTTTTCTCACATAACGTTGTAGGGAGAAGTGCTCCTCATGTTGGAAGTGTAGTGGCTAATTGCACAGCCTAGTATGAACACATAAAAATCCTGTAAACACAGAACACACTCCAGCTGATACTAAGCTTCTATAAAACTTATTGATTTCAGTAAGGCAGATTTAAGCACAGCATAACTCTCAGTGAAATCAATGACACTTTAAAGTGCTTTGCTTCCACTGGATAGTACATACAATTTTTTCTTTATTGAACACTTTGGAGTAGATTTAATGGGGAAGAACCCCTCAGTCATTGCTGGTGAGTACTAACTGCTGCCTTGGAAGGCATCAAATATAAAGCAAAAAAGGATAAGAAAGAGGTTCTTCCCAGGGGAGTCTGAGAAACTGCCCTAGTACTTTTTCTAAGTATGAAAGGTTTTTTACATAAATACTTTGATATGAGTTTCAGAGTGTCAGTATCTGTGAGGACAATTATGCTATTTACTGTTGTGGTGTTGAGCTGGCTTTCTTAAATGCACAGTGCTTTTAACATACTAATGAAACCCTCTTCCTTATGATTTGGTGGTATCATAACCTTTCCTAAAAACTGGGGTGAAGCGTTATGTCCTCTTGTCTTCCCAAATGGCTTGAAGCTTCGGGATGGGAATCAGTTGTTGTTGTTGTTGTTGACATCAACTGCAGCTCACAGAAATTCGCAACCAACATGGACAGTGACAAAGCTGGCTGTGGGGTTTTGGTAGGCGTAATCCAAAACCCCTAAACATTTTCCATTTCTGTCAAGGCTTACAATTTCGCCATGATTGCCTGAGTAGCTGAGTCTGATGTTTCTCTTCAGAGGAACCACATTGGTTCAGAAAATCCCAGTGATGTCTTCCGGTTTTTGGTGGAAGAGCGCACACAGTGCTGCCAGTCCAGGAAAGTGCGATACACAGAGAGAGTTGACTATCTCATGCAGTTGCCTGTGGCGATGGAGGCTGCAGCAAACAAAGGTGGGTTAATATCATAATAGGCATGTAATTCCAACAAAGTTTCAGATGAAACTCTTAGTCAACACACATGTTAACTTCAGCATCATCATAGTTTGCATGTACTGTATTATGCATGTTTAAGGAAGCTTTACAATAACTGGCAGTTCTGATAGAACTTGGCATTTTATGCAGTGCATCCTGAAATTCTGTGTTCAGTGGAGCCAGTTCACATAATCCAGTCACCAGTCTTCAAATGATGAACAAGCATGTGTGAATCCATCCTTTCAAAAACCAAAGGATCTGAACTGTCTCTCCTGGGCATTCCTGAATTCTGAGTCCAAACTGATGGATATAGAATACATATGACATGTCAGTGGAGTTTGAGTGAAACTTTTCCGTTGTGTGCCGGTTGAGCCATCTTGACTTCACCCAACATTCCTTTGTCCCTGTCCATTGCGGAGGAAGAGGGGTGGTGATAGTGGTGGGTAACAGGATGGATTTGATTTAAATCACAATTTAAATGAAAAAAGAGAGGATTTTAAAATTATTTAAATGTAAAAAAATCCTTTTTAAAATTTAAATCGTGATTTAAACTGTGATGATTTTTTTTAAAAAAATAATCATTTATTTATATCCATCCTGGTGGGCAAACCTCTGTGGGAAGGCTGGGAAACCAGACTCTACTGCAGATGAGGAGTATACTTTGCAAACGTCACTTTTTTGTTGTTGCTAAGTTTGTTTTCCTTTTTGTTGTTGTTAAAAATTAAGAATTCCCTTCCTTTGGCTTGTTTAAACAGAAGGAACTTGTAGAAAGACACTTCAGCTTCTAGCTAAAGTGCGATGGCTCTCTATAGCATTGCCTCCCACCCACATTATTTCTGGTTCACACTTCTTGCTGTCATTAATTCTAACTGTGGATTTGTAACCAGAATGAAACCTTAATTTTAAATCCTGGATTACCAGATAAAGTCATGCCCCGCTGGACGATTACCAACAGAAGGAACTTGTAGAAAGACACTTCAGCTTCTAGCTAAAGTGCGATGGCTCTCTATAGCATTGCCTCCCACCCACATTATTTCTGGTTCACACTTCTTGCTGTCATTAATTCTAACTGTGGATTTGTAACCAGAATGAAACCTTAATTTTAAATCCTGGATTACCAGATAAAGTCATGCCCCGCTGGACGATTACCCCACTCCACCTTGGATTACCAGGTACAGTTGTGCCCCGCTGGACGATTACCCCGCTCTACGACGAATCCGCTTAATGTTGAATTTTTTGCGATTGCTTTTGCAATCACAAAACAATGTTTAGATGGGGGAATTTTGCTTAACGTTGATCAGTTCCCGGCTTCGGGAACCGATTTTTCGCTTTATGACGATCAGCAAACAGCTGATTGTCGCGTTTCAAAATGGCCGCCAGCTGTAGAAAATGGCCCCCCGCTGTTTTCAGGACTGTTTTTTCGCTAGACAGGCACCAAAAAATGGCCGCCGTATGGAGGATCTTTGCTGGACGAGCAGGTACTTAGCCCATTGGAACACATTGAACGGGTTTCAATGTGTTTCAATGTTTTTTTTTAATATTCATTTGATGACGATTTCACTCTATAGCGATTTCACTGGAACGAGTTAACGTCGTCAAGCGACGGACTACGGTTATGATTAAAGGAAAGGATGTTGAGAAGAGATTGAACCCACTACGGTTATGATTAATGGAAAGGATGTTGAGAAGAGATTGAACCCAAGACGGGGAAGGCAATATTTATCATCTTGATCGGCTTGAATAAGATGGTTCCTTTATGTAGATGTTTCCCCACTCCAAATTTGGGGGTCCCTCACAGTGTTCGACTTTTGCTTCTGGTTAGATGAATTGATTGCTTATGAACTGAAGAGGAGAGAAGCAGAAACTGCAAGGAGACCCCCTCCAGAGCTTGTGCGTGCTAAGATCCCCTTTAGTGCCTGCCTGCAAGCCTTTTCTGAACCGGAGAATGTAGAAGACTTTTGGAGCAGTGCCCTTCAAGCCAAGTCTGCTGGAGTTAAGTAAGCAGTTTTCCATGTACATGATGGGTATGCACATTGAGTGGTGGGCATTGTATCCTATATAAACAATGTGATGTCGTCCATTAGTGGACCGTTAGTCCCTTGACAGCCATATTGGGTTTAAAATGTTAGAATATACAAAGCCTAATGCATGGTAGAGCAGATACCTTACATGCAGGTCTACCAGTAGGCATCCTTCAGTCTCGAGAGACTGTGGTAACGTGCTCTGTGTCTAGTGTGGCTGAGAAGGCCAATTCAAGAGTCACCATCCCTTCCACGCTGAAGACAAATACAACCTGTCCCCTGTCCAGCTCCCTGGTTTTGCTGGTTTCAGAACCGCCTCTTTGCCTCAGCTTGCCGGACAAGAGTCTCTTCAAACTGGGTGAGGCCGCGATGCACTGCCTGCCTCCAGTCTGAACGCTCAGATCTGGGCGAGGCCGCAATGCACTGCCTGCCTCCAGTCTGAATGCTCAGATGTCAAGGCTGACAACACTGGCCAGATGGACCAGCAGTCTGACTCAGTCTAATGTGGATCTCTGTAAAAGCCTGTGAAAGCTTATCTGTTTCTCAGAGATTGGCTTTTTTAAGTTGCTGGAGTCGACCGGCTAAGCTACTTCACTGACCACCCTTGCCAGTGGTCTTTTCCCCAGATGGCTTATGAATACAGTGAAATGCTGATCCTAATACAGATGCTTGGGAGTCTCAATGTATACTGCTGATTTATTCCAATTCTTTACTAGAGATGGGGGTATTCATAGACAAATAGGAATATCAGTGCAGATAACAAAGGTCCGGCCCCCTGGGGCCAGGAATACCCCCCCACAGTGCATATAATGAAGGTCCGGCCCCCTGGAACCAGACCGACCACTCACGATTCTGCCCCTCCCATGAGCTCCGCAGTGCCTTCCTATTGCTCCGCCTCCCATGAGCTCCGCGGTGCCTTCCTATTGCTCCATTGCTCGCGATCGATTAGCCACTCTGCGACCTGGCAGAGAGGCTCGTCATCCGCCTCCTGCCAGGACTGGCTAATCCATCGCAAGCTCCGGAGTGATAGGACGGCTCCACAGAGCTTGTGGCAGCGGCGGAATCATGAGTGGTCGGTCTGGCTGGCTCCACAGAGCTTGTGACAGCGGCGGAATCATGAGTGGTCGGTTTGGCTCAAGGGGGCTAGACCCTCGTTATCTGCACCTCAAGGGGGCTAGACCCTCATTATCTGCACCTCTGGGAGGGGATATTTGTATACGAATACCCCCATCCCTGTTCTTCAACCAATTAGTGATCTGTAAGATGATGACCCATCCTCTTATCCCAGGACTATTTTAAGTTTCCTTAGGAGCCTTGTTGCATTCTTTTCATTGACTCCTACATTCGTTTCTTTTCCAGATAGTAACATAACATGCCTTGTGTTATCCGTAGTCTTTGTATCTACAGTATATACCTGCCTGCTTAGGATATGCAGAGTAGGTTCCTACCCACAAATCCTTAAATCATAAAATATACTGAATTTGGTAAGTAGTTTAAGGTGGGCAACACATGGCACTCCCAGGGTTGGTCTGCATTTCCCCTTGTCTTTCTCCACAGGGGAATGGTTGTATAACAATATTTGAGCAGCCATCAATTAGCTATCCCTGAGTCAGTCCTTGAGCACTTAAGCCATAGCTGTTTTTCCTGCCATGTACAGAAGCGGCATGTCTCTGATTATTGGGTAGTGGAGGCAGGCAACGGGGGCTGCCGATTTCCACTTCGTGCTGTCTCTTCCCTTTCCAGGAATGTCTGGGTGGAAGCAGCAGTGTGTTAAATGAATCCTGGGCTGTTCACATGTGATTTTCTTTCTGTTCTTTGACTTTTCATGTTGACTTCTTGTTGCTCAGCTAAATTCACACCAAGCTTCTGGTGTTCTTTTGTTTCTAGAACCTCTCGCTTTGCATCATTTCCTGAATATCTGGTAGTACAGATAAAGAAGTTCACTTTTGGCCTTGACTGGATTCCTAAAAAACTTGGTAGGTGCTTTGAATTCTCTCCTTCCCGTAGAACGGCCTTCGTGCTGTGGTAGAGTATAGAGACTTGTTTCCAGGCAGAAGGCTTTGAGAGCTACCAGTCAAGACAGGCACAGCTATGCTGTCTTTAATGGGTTTTCTGTGGTGAATGAAAGGCGACCTAAATGATGAGAAAACGCAGAAGGGTTACAAATGGACAATTATGTCGCCTGTATCTCCCGTAAAATTTTGTCCAGTAAACGTTTTATCCAGAATCATAATCAAGGTTGGTGGGGGTTAAAAAATGGATCCCGTAAGCAATAAAAATGAGAGAAAGTACTGAAATGGCTATTTTTGGTGGAATCCCAGGAGAGAAATATTGTGTATCTTTGGCAGTAAGAATGTACCTGGGCCTTATTGATACCTGTAAGATAATGATATCTAAGCAACTTGATATAGCCATCCAAAATAATGCTGAGCGTCATCATCAGAGGAGAGGGACCGTTTGTTCATCAATTATGAAAGCCAATAGCAAGGTTTGTCACTCTCCCCTGCTGGAATTGAATTTTCATGGTTGCCATGTGTAAACTTTTCAACTGAGGTAGTTTTTTTCTTCTCTTTTTTGCTGTCCTGAAATAATGGGTTTGCAGAAAGCATGTTTATTTTTTCTATAATATGGTATATGCTTGCTCTCTTCCCCTGGACTTCTCTTTGCCTAAAACTCAAAATGTTTTAAAGAAGAACATTTGGGGACATCAAAACAAGCACTATCAATTTGAATAATAGATTCTGATTGCAGAAACTTTCTGAGATGGATGGGGTTTTCAGGAAGTTGTAATAAAAAAAAAGTTACTTTTTCCACCTCTGAAATAAACCATTATTTTGGAAGGACCTTTTCCAAACTCCTTTTGCTTGGTCCTATAGCACTGAATAGGGGACGTGGTGGCGCTGCGAGTTAAACCGCAGAAGCCTCTGTGCTGCACGGTCAGAAGACCAGCAGTCCTAAGATCGAATCCACACGACGGAGTGAGCTCCCGTCGCTTATCCCAGCTGCTGCCAACCTAGCAGTTCGAAAGCATGTAAAAATGCAAGTAGATAAGTAGGTACAATCTCAGTGGGAAGGTAACGACGTTCCGTGTCTAGTCGCGCTGGCCACGTGACCACGGAAACTTTCTTTGGACAAACGCTGGCTCTATGGCTTGGAGACGGGGATGAGCACCGCCCCCTAGAGTTGGACACGACTGGGCTAAATGTCAAAGGGAACCTTTACCTTTACTTTTATAGCACTGGATGGGAACCAGGTGAGGAATCACACTTACTGTGCCTATGATGTATTTACTATGGGTCTGTAGGCTTATTTGCCCTGCTGGGTTTACAGATGTTTCCATAGACATGCCAGATCTTCTGGACATCAGTCACCTCCGTGCCACAGGCCTTCAGCCGGGAGAGGAGGAACTTCCAGACATCTCTCCACCCATTATCATTCCTGGTGACCCCAAAGGTACTGCCTGCTACCACGAGGATCTCTACCTCCCAACCATTCTCCACCACAACTGTTAGTTGATCTTCTTTTTGTTCCTTTGTCACTCTTGCTCCCTACTGGTTTGCATGGAACAGCTTCTTGGAGGAAAGCTCCCGTCAAGCTGCAGTCCATCCCTTGCCTAACAGCCATAGTATGTGACTTTATGGGTGTTTCTATGTTTGTATGCGAAGCAGCCAGTTGCAGAATCAAGGCCTGGTTCTCTCATTAAAAAAAACAAACAAAGTTTTTGGTTTCTTACTAAGTTTGTTCGGGAGGATTGGGCACCTTTGGTGGGCCTTGCAGGCAGGATCTCTGATTGAGCTAGGTAGAGGCAGTCTCAGAGACATGAGCAAGACAGAAAGCAAGCCAAGACTGAGAAATGCTGTTTAAACTGGAGAAGTATAGTAGTCTTGGTATGCCAAAAAAGGGAGTTGGAATTTGCTATGATGTAGAGCGAGTGCATATAGGATGCATAGGCGACATGGGAGGGGAAGTATGGGCAGAGGTGACTTGAAAATAGCAGAGAGAGAGAGAGAGAGGTAGGCTGTCTAAACCAGAAGCTCTTGCTTCTAGTTGTGTAGAAGCCTGCACCTTTTAAGGCATGAACAAGGCCTTGAATCTAGAACTGTGATGGGTCCTGCCATTCATATCCACTGCAGAACTGGCCCATCTCCTCTCCCATTCTCTCCCAATGACACACTCTGCCTCCCTCACTTTACTTTCTTAACTTTCCAGATGGCATGATGAACCATTTCACAGAGCGTATGTATCTCATTTCATTACTTTGGTTGTATTTATGAGTTTATCTTCTTCTTTTTTTAAATGGCTGCTACAGCAAACATTAGTTGCCGCTCACACAGGTGCTGTGTCTGGAGAGAGAGATATGCATGGAAGCGCTCGTCTTTGGGCTTTTAAATAAGTTACTGTGCTGTATGCATTTAAATGTGTGATAAAATCTTAGTTGCATAGAATGTAGTCTTTCCCTTTTTCTGCCCCACAACTGAAGATTGGAAAAGCCAGGACTGAGTGCAGAACTAGCAGTTTTCCCACCTGATTCAAGTAATGCAAAATACGCCTCCCTTGTAATTCACCATGGGAAAATGTTACAAGACGTAATAGGAGCACTGAACACTTTGCACCTGGATCATCATGGGAATTGAGGGTGGAGGATGGTGTTACAGCCATTTGAGGCTAATTGGTTAACAGCCATGAAGTGTCAAGAAGAAGGGAGGAGTTAGAGAAAGTAGAAAATGGACATTGGGTTATGTGGGAGATGTTCGATTCCATGATGATGGGAGAGAAAAAGAACTTGATGGTTTGAGCATGTGGCTTGAAGGAGAGAGAATGTAAGTAAAGAGAAAGAAGGAGGTGGGATCAACCCACCTTAGCCCAGTTTTTTACTACATCTTCCACTTCCAAAACAGTTATGCTGGATGAGGGATTCTGGAAGCTGTAGTCTAGAAAACTAACTTTTTTGAGCTTGGAGAATGAGCCAAATGAGTCAGCGAAGTCAGCAGGGAATAGCTCTAATTCCGCCATGTTTTTGGATCTAGCAACTGGCATCCCAAAACGCAATGCCTCCAGACTTTGAGATTTCACATTATTATTTTTTGGCTAAGAGCCGCTGATAGGCTTCCTCTTGGTCCGTGGACTTATTCTGGGAAGGACTGACCTAGAGTGCTGAAAAGCCTGAGAGCCCAAGCTATGCTGTCTTGTTAGAACTGCCTTGCATAGAGAGTAACAGAGGCCTGGGTTTGTGTTTCAAGAACTGTCAAGTACACAGTCTGTCCCTCTTTTGGCTGGACTCCATTCTGGTTCGACTCTCCTGCAGACAGTGCCTGCAACTCTTTCATTTCAGTTCTAAGGACTAGAGGGTTTGTTCTAGAAATCCATTAGGACGTGGGAGGTTCTCAGAGCTGTGTAAGTTATGCGCTTAGTGACAGAAGATGCATGTAACGCTGGCCATTCTATGAAAAAGGAATTTGAGAGTTTTCATGCACGGAATACCCTTTGTCTTAGCACCAGATATTGATGAATCCTCAGTGATGCAGCTAGCAGAGATGGGATTTCCACTGGAAGCATGCCGAAAAGCTGTCTACTATACCGGCAACATGGGTGCTGAAGTGGCTTTCAACTGGATCATTGCACATATGGAAGAACCAGGTTTGGTATCCCCAGGAACGCATCATTCATATTATGCCACCTGGACAAAAATGCCTTCTTGCTTCCTAAGTTAGTCCTCTGCTTCCCATGTTTTCACTTAGTTGGAGTTTAAGGGAATAGAAGGTTACCTGAAGTTCATGAGCTTCCTTTACACCCCATTCCTCGATTGGCTAAGTATTGCAAAGTCACAGAAATCGAATAGAACTATGTAGCACTTACTGTCTTTTGCTAGGCAGCATTGCAAATACGGCTTTGAAAGCAGAACAAAAGTCCTGCTTGATCAGACCAGATGTTCATTCAGTCCAGCATCTTTGATCAGACCAAGCGTTCATCCAGTTTCTCACAGGGGCTATCTCGCTGTCTCCATATGCTTTGGATTTCACCTACCTGATTCCTGTACCATCGGCCCTTGTGGGTGAAATCCAAAACAACTGGAAGAAGAAACACTAAGAACACTATACAGTCCATACACAGCATAATTTGTGGTTCATGTGTGTCCAGATTCAGAGAGAGAGAGAATTTTGCAGACATCCCTCTTCCTTACAGCCTGGAAAAAAAGATGTCCATTCACCACAGTTAAGTAGGCAAATATTTGTCATCCTGTGGACTAGTTCAGGTGCAGTGAGTGACTGGATCAAGGTCTCCGTTTTCCACCCTTAAACATTGCCTGCATGGGCCATGATATGCTTACTTACATAAGGAGACCATTTCCCCTTTTAATAGCAACCTTTCCTTCTTCTTCTCCAACCAGAGGCTGATTGTTAACATGACTATTTTGGGTTTGGAATGTGGTAGCTCTAAACGGCGATACTGTGTTGTATCCAAAACAGTCAAGGAGGTTCTTCAGCCAATAAATTATCCTGCCTGCACTTCTGCCCCAATTTCTTTTACCTTTGATGATCAGCTGTAAAGAATCTGTACATTTCATTTTTCATTGCATGTATTCTGGCTTTCTGCATGTTCTGTTTTCTTAGTCTTTATTCATTTCTTTCGGTACTTCTTCACTGGTCAGGCTGTTGATCCAATAAATTCTTAGCAATCTACAATAAATCCACACTTCAAATATTTTTATCTTGATTTTTTAAAAAAATTCCTGTATCAAAGACCATGATTCCATGACATATAATAGAATCTAAAATTCATAGCTCTATACCAAAGTCAATTAAGTTTTATTTTTCACATTACATTCTTCATCTTGAGAATATTGCTCTGGACCATCT